CTTCAGAAACTGTACCCTTGCTGTCAAAAAGGCTTCAGAGTCAGCTGCCATCTTGACATGAGGTTGCAATTCCTGTTACCGTACCTTTTTAGACATAGGGAACATGCTTAGTGAACTGGTCCCTCACTCGTTTTCAAGAAAGATTAAATTTAAAATGGGGGGGGGGGCTGTTTCTTTGCTTGTTAGATTGTTTGTTTTTAAAAAGAAACACCTCAGCTAGCTCCAAACATGTCTTTTTCTGATTCTGGAGACTGGGGCCTTGATATTTCAAACAATTCCTGTGGTGACTGGGAGCTTCTTCTTGAGGTTAATATCCTAAGTATCTCAGCGAGCTGCTTTTCTATATTGGTCATTTTTGTGTTTAAAGCCTTGATGTCCTCTTTCAACTCATGTTTCACTTCTAGCATGGTGGCCTGAAGAGTCTGTTCTGGGATGGGATAAAAGGAATGCTTGACCTCGGTGAGGACCGGGCTGCGGTCCTGCGGGCTTCTTGTCTCCCCAACATTATCCAAGCGCAAGTCACTTTTCGTAATGCCACTATCACAAGAGTCTGTCTTCTTCAGGGTAGCTTCTCCTGAAGTTTTAGTTCTCTCTGGTAAAGTCTCCATGGACTCTGCTTTAGAGACCTTGTTCCAGTCTTCACCTTTCCCACAGGCATCCTTGAATTTGGCCCAGCCTTTTCGTCGGGGGTAGTCCCCTGACACTTTACACCCTGTGTAGTCTGATGTTGGGGCCTGCAGCTTGGCCTGGTCAGATGCCCCAGATGTTGAAGCGGACTGGTACGACACAGGGGTTGCAGGACTCTCCCGTACAGTCACAACGCTGGCTTTGACCACTGAGCGGGTGGAGGAGTGTTCCCCTAAAATGTTGCCCTTCTCCACGTCCAGGTCATCCGGATCTCTGCCCCTCTCTGCTGCAAGCCGCGCTTCCTTCTGCTGCCTGAACCTCTGGAACAGCCGGCGGACCGGGTGGTCCGGGGGTAGGATCAGAGGTGCTTCGTTCTTCCTCTTCATTCTCTCCTCTTCTTCGCGCTTGACATCACTGATTTTCCGGAACACAATCTACAGGAGGAAAGAGATTTCACTCTGTGATTAACTGCACATTTGCTAAGAGGAAAAAGTTGTAGAGAAAGAATTATTTGAAAGAACTTATTTTAACTGACAAATGCACAACCTCTGCACATTTATAGCAACGTTTTCAAGTATCTTATCTTGTGTGGAATGTGGGTTATTTCATTATTTAAGAGCATACACCATCTGTCTTACAACACCAGAAAGAAAAAAAAAAGAAGACAAAGATTTCTCCAGTTCTGAGAGGTCAGCAAGGCAGCATCATTGTAAGTATAATGATCCCAGGAACTTACTTGTTCTATTTGTGTTAAAAGTGACTTCTTATATGTTTTCCTCTATCTATGGTTTAGCACCAATATTACGAAGAGCCATTCCCATGTTTTACATCAGTCTCATCCCAGAGCTCACTCACTACATGCCATGCAAAATATCTGCTGTTACTTTAGTGCAGCCTGGCCACTAATGAGGTCAGTACATCAGAGACTACTCTGGACTCTCCAACAGCAGTTTGCAAAGTGCTTCTTGCCCTCTTCCAGAAGCAACTTGCAGTTTAGGGCTGAGACAAAGCTCAAGTCAGTCCCACAGTCAAGGGTACAAGGACAGTGGGGAATGGACTCTGCAAGACATGAGGAAACTGTTTGTGGTTTGACTACTACAGAAGCTTGAAGTGCTTCATGTCTTGATTTATTTCTTTATTTCTATGGAAAAGGGGACATTTTTGCACAAAGAAACATTAATTTTCCATCTACCCTTCTAATTATATCTTCCTGAGCCTGTAGGCTAAGCGGTCTCTGTGGGAGCAGCCCAAGGATCTCACAGTACTGATGAAAGGTTCAGAGTGCCCCCACACAACCCCAAAGGGCAGCCAGGCAGTGTTTCTTCCCTGGACTTGATGGTAACACATTCTCTTCAAAAACTCCTCAAAAACTCCATGTACTTTACATTGCTATTGGTATTTCCCAAGCAAAAAAACCTCCAGTGTGATATTAAAGGAGAACCAGTAAGTAGTCTGGTTTGAAAATGTGAGGTCCCCTAAACTGAGATTTTCAATACAGAGTATAAAAAGATGAAGTCCCCAGCTTCTATTGAATGCTGATACCTAATCTCTGTAGCTGCTTTTGGGAAAATCCACTCAAAGTCCTTACACTCCAATGCAGAAATAACTTTCAGATTCAAATCATTATTAGGAAATGTGTAAATAAACCCATCCCTCTGTTGTAGACAGATTTAAATTAAACTAAACATAATAAGCGCTGCTTCACTGGCACACACAAAATGCATGTTTCTCCAGACTCCGATGCTTCTTGACAGTTTTGTCATTGTGAAGCAGGGAAAAAACATCTTAACACTGTATCTTTGGAATGAAGAAGTTGTCAGACTTGGCAGCGTTTCCCAAATACAAAAGAATAAAATTAGCAGGAAGGATATTTTATTTCCAAGCTGCAATTAGGAAACTAAATGTGAGATAAGAATAAGAAAACAGGGTACTTGACAGGTTTTTTTTTTACCCAGGAAACTCAGTCTGCAGTGAGCTCAGTATAAAGCGGACAAAGCAGCATAATCCTTACAAGTGAAAGAATAGCACTTACTCCCTGAGAAGGGAGAATCAATACAATGCTCCAGGCTAATGGCTTCCCACACACTGGCAGTCCCCCGCTTTAATGGAAGGAAGAGAGTCAGCCCCACGTTAGGGTGGCTGCTGGGCACGCTCTGCTGGAGCCTCACGATGCCAGGCAGCGTCTCGGGGGGTCACTCCAGCAGCGGGCTGAGGTTGGCTCTGGTGGCACAAAGCCCCAGCAAACCAAGGCAACTATAAGCCAAGTCATTTTGTCTCTGCAAAATTCTGTCCCCCCAAGCCCTCCCTCTCCTGGAGTTTGCATGTTTGGTGCCGGTGTGGACACCATCCATGTCCTGCACAGGAGGGGTATATGACTGGGTAGTGCTATGGTCACCCTCACAGGGCTCATCAGGGAACGCCCTTGGGTGCTTGAAAGAGCTAGAGGCCAGGCTGCTTCATAGAGTCCTTGTCTAGTCCAACCCCAGCTCCATCAGCCTGCTCAGCACCTTGTCTGGTGAACACTGGAGTATGTCTCACTCTTTAGCGACTGGCTTTTGTAACATAAATGGGGAAGTTATTTGACAGAAGCTGCCCCTGCTACAGCACCATGCAGATGAGAGGGCAATGGAGCAAGTCTCAAGCAGTAACTTATTAGCCCAATTCATACTAGTCACTGCATCTCATGCAGCTCGTAGTGTGGTCTCCATGCTGGAGTACATGAGAAGCAAATTTACTAGCAAATGCAAAAAAGTCAACAGTGATAGGCTGTTGGCAGTGCTTGTCTCCCCACCGCCGCCTTCCGCGGCACCGCCTCGATGAGCCTGGCTGATGCTGAGCGCACTCGGCCACGGAGGAGCAGCCACCAGCCTTCCCACAGTGTGGTGGTCAGCCTCAGGCCCTGAACATACCTTCACCCCTTGGCCTTCAGGAGAGCAGACTGCAACAGAAACGGGAGCGTATGTGGAGGAAGCAATTACCTAAATACTGCCTTTGCCGCGGGTAACTGCTACCACACTAATGAGACCCCTAATTCCCATTTTCCCCATGAGGCCTCACACCAGCTACAAAGCAAGGACATCACCGCAGCAATCACCTGTGTGAATGCAGAGGTGCAATCCTCAGGTCTCCCATCCTGGTCAACATCTTTTATACGTATACGTTTATGTGACAAACTGCACTCATGTGGTGCAAATCAAACCTACGTGCATTTGCCAGAGGACACACCTCCGACTCTTGGGTTGGCTTCTTTTAACTAACTCCTAAGACATCGGATAAATACCTGTCAGAAGGCAACTCCTCTTTGGGAAGCCCAGGCAAAGCTGTCACTGGTGTCCTTTTCTGCAAGCTCCCCAATGACATATTTTTTCCAGACAGCTCCATATTTATGTATGAAGCAAAAGTGTTATAACTATGCAAAGCTCAGCAGTAATTGAAAAGACTTTACATAACTTCATTTTGGATTTTTTTTTTGTTGCTGTCTTTTTTAAGACTAAATGCAAGTCCTTATAAATAAAAATACAAATAACTGTTTTAAATGGACCATTTTCTTACAATTGTCGAGGAAAAAGCCATTTTTAAATGATTTTAAGTGGTTAAACAGCTTCAGCTTTAACCAAGGTATTCAGAAAATGTGGTTGTTGTGCTGAGGTATATACACCTGCTCCCACAAGCTGTAAGAGTACAAGGGGAAAGAAAATATTTGTTTCATTTGTTATAAGAAAAAGAAGTCTGGACCTACACAGCAATTTTCATGTGGAATTTGATAGGGCTACAAATATGGATCTTTATCAAAGTTAAAACCCCAAATATTATAGCAAAGATCCTAAGATAGTTTTTAGAGCAGTTGTTCTCTCTCTCTCTCTCTCTAAGCATTCATTTTTGTCTGGGAAGGGATAGTGCTTTGTACCCACAAAATCTCCTAGCCCATGTGTTATCTACCACACAAACATAAAGGACCTCTACTTTACAAGCTATGTAGGTTCTCCATAACATCATCCTCTTCAAGATATAAGCACACCAAAAAAATGTAGTGGGAGCATTTTAACAGTATGTGAAGACCAAAACATGGACAGAGAACTTCAACTGAGGTGAAATAACAAGAACTTTAAACACCAGGCCTAAAAGTGCATCCTTCACACATCCAATCTCAAGTCTTGTTTCATAATTCCATTTTTATTAAAAAGGTGCTGAATCTTGTAGCTCCAAATGAATGCTTCCCAAGCTGCCAGGAATTTGAGTATAGTGGGGCTATCAGCCTAGATTTGTCCAAAACTTGAAAAATAGCTATGTTAGGCACAGATTACTGCAATCATATAAGCATTTAAGTGTACGCAGTTATGATGACTCAATACCGATTTTATTTTTGGACAATGCACTTATAGAAGTGAAGAAACACACTGACACGTCCTGGTGCGCTCCTGCACCCGCATGTCCCGCTGACCTAGGATAGCACACACCCTGCAGCCATGTTCCTGCCTGTGCATGAGCCATGTCCAAGGGAGAAAGCCGAGGTTACACCCAGCACGTTTTCCTTTCCTCGCCCAGCACGTTTTCCTTTCCTCAATATTAACTAGTTTTGAAGGTGAAGTCTTTAGTAAGTTTTGGGGGGAGACTCTGCCTTCTTTTAATCTTCAAAGAATTTTCAAGACGTATCTGTAGAATCAATGTCATTAGAGATTAAGGTCAAGATTTCTCCTCCAAACATTAAAAAATTAGGTGGACATAAATGAATACTTGAAATATCTTATTTGGTTGTCAAATCTGGAGAGCCCAGTAACTGTTACCTGGATCTTCCTGTGCTCAGCACTGAAACCCAAGCATCATTTAAATAACGTAACATGGACATTTTTCATTAATATGACTTCCATAATTTCTTTATGATAAGACCACAAGAACAGACTGCAATGTGACCTCCAGCATAAGGCAGGCCATAGGATTGCTCTGAAGGGGCATTCCCTGAAGGGAATCTTGTTACAACCAGACTATCTTTTAGAAAAACATCCAGTTTGACAGCAATAAAGAACCCATCATCACATATTGATAAAAGGTTCCTGCAATTTTTGCTTTAAGACTGAGTTTGTCTGACTTCAGTGACATTTCTGCTTATTGCTCCCTCAGACACTTAAAAATTCACTTTTAGAAATCTAGAGTCTTATGTTTAAAAATCTCTGCAGAAGTATTAAATGTAGACAGTTACTACTGTGAAGCATTTAGAACATAGTTTTACTGATATGAAACAGGCAAATTTCACACCTTCAGAATTTTCAATTTAACTCCCAGCTTTCCAATTTTAACTCTTTGGAGATGTTTGAATTATTTCCTACCTTCCAACATCTTTAACAGGCAGTGCTCAGCACTTAAATGCTCGCTCTTACCCAGAGCTAGAGTATATAGTTGATTTAGTTAAATACAAGGTTCCTTAAAAAAGTCAAGT